TTTTACTAATTTGTGATTTTTAGTGCGACCACTAATCAATGTCATCGGCGTGAAATCCATTCTCACTCCCGACTGGACAGGTGTCACTGGTATCGACTTCTCACTAGTACTCCCGGAAACTCCGTCCTGTAGCAAGTCACTAGCGATTGTAATTACATTCTACCGTTGTGTCCAAGTTCTACACCTACAGTACATATCAGTAAATTATTTCATTCCATTTCATCTCATGTTCTTATTCACCATACATATTTTAAATGACAAACAAAACTAACTGACTATCGTTGCACCTTGTACTTGTTCCGTAATACATTTTCCGTTATAATTCTAATTTGTCTTTATTAGTTACTGTATGCTAAAATTAGTCGTTTATTAATTGTAGCGCCAGAAGAGGAATTTACTGAAAATACAATCTTTCGCTCTAATTATTGTGGGGGCGTTTAGCTTTTTTTTTAAAACATATAGCAGTCACAATAGATATCTAAAATGTTTCCGATATTTAAAGCTTACAAAACTTGTTCAGTGTGATGAAACTAAACAGTGTCTGCATATACCACCCCTTTTTAAAGAATCTCCTATTTAGAAACAGGTCGTAAATATGATTGACAGAAACATGGCATGACGACACTATAAACGCTGAAACTTTGATGTATACTAAAATTTTGTTCGTGGGCCAAAAATAAACTCTGATGGAAATAACAGCATACTGTTTTGAGCGACAGAATGTATATATATATGCCTACTTTTATTCAACCTACTGACACAGTCAACTGTCTGAACAATCTGACCACTTGAATCTGCAAACTTCACTTTAAGCAGTAATCACTTCTGATGTAAGAAGACATATTTCATGCTGTTGTGAAAACCACTATGAATTTTCGTTTTAATTTAAGGCTAAATAACCATATTTAAAGTCATTAGCTTCATTTAACCCATAAAACCAACAATCTAAAATGCCATAAAATATCGTAAGATTTAAATATGTAAAACTGGCGGTATGTAATAGGAGAAACCAATATCCAGTGTACTATAGTTGTATCGGTCAATTTTGGAAGTCACTATTGAAATCTACTGAAAATTACATTTTTATTCAAGTATTGGTTTGTAGGGATTTGGTTGAATGGTTACAGGATTTCCTCATGAGCTGATATTGGTTAGAGAACCACTGGAAAACCTGGGAGTTCTGGACTGCTGTTTCGTACTAGTTTGGGACTCTTCATCAGTAGGCACCCACCACAGTGGTTCGAACTCAGGACCTTCTGTTTACAAGGCGAGCTCGTATACCATTAAGCCACTTGGACATGATCCAATGGCCAGCCCATGAATTCTAACTTCTGCCAATTCACGATATAGCGCAACCGCTAGACAATGTCTTCGGCGAGTATTTGTCCTCACACCCAACCTGCTGCACCCTACTGGTCAGCTCATGATGAAATCCTGTAACCAATCAACCAAATCCCTACAAACCAGTACTTGAATATCAATGACATGCTCACTGGCAACTGGCCCTATTCAGGTAGGTAGTTACCTGAGGTTCCAGTGGGAAGTCGTGACCAGTAGAGTGCAGCAGGTTGGGTGTAAGGACAAATACTCGCCGAAGACATTGTCTAGCGGTTGCGCTATATCGTGAATCGGCAGAAGTTATATGTTCTTAAAACTCCTCAATAAAAGTAAACTTAAACTTTCATGTGATGAGATTTTGAGATTGTAACAAGAACAGATTTGTTCTCTTCAAAGACTAATTTCACTACAACGTGGATTTCATCACAAGCCATCATCACTTAAAGAATCAATAGGATGGGAAGCCCGCTCCACATCTGTTTAACCCTAGTTTGAAAATCTTCGGCAGTGCACATCCAGGACCTCACTAGGAATCCAACCCAAGAACTGCAGGTTACGAATCCAGATCTTTGGTTATTTGACCACTTTGGCCAGAATTCAATAACCTGTGAATTCTGACTTTCAAGAGTTAGGTTGTACGGATGTGATTTGTCTCAAGCTTGACCACTGATTGACATCAGTTCGAGAATCATTGGAAACAAGGGAGTAATAGGCAACTTTTCCGTCCTAGTTTGGGACTGCTGATGGGTTCCAAACTGGGATGGAATAGCTGTCTATATCTTCTTCGTTTTCAATTTCCAGTTCGTGATATGACGATGAGTTTTAATTTCAGAGTGCTTGCACTTGATAATAAAGCTCCGTGGATGAAACACTTCCTCTTTTATATGCTCTGGTATTTTGTGTATATGTATGGCTGTAATTATAATTTCTAGATATACTTACGTTTTCCCAAGCAGGTAGTTTAAAACATTTTGTCTGAATTCCAATAATGACATCTAAGATAAATACATAATTTAGCTACATGTTGCATAATCAATTTCAGTGACTTGTTCGGCTAAGGTGTTTCTAACCCTGTTGTAATTTCAGTTGAAATGAGATGACTCGTAACACTTTTTTCATTCCCTTGCGTTTCGAATGGAAAATGGACTTCCGAGCTTCTCATCAGTGGCCCTGTTTTTTTATCGAATGATACTGCTAGCCTTACGTCAAACTTTCCCACTTTGCCGGACTTACCACTGGCTTAGTGAACTTTAGGAGTGCGCCGGTCGGGAACCGAATTCGGACTGTGTGTGTGTGTGTGTGTGGTTGGAGAGAAACCCACCAATGAACTGCATGACGTGTAATTTTATTTTAATTTAGTTTGTTACACAAATAAAACACATGTGAATCTTAATACCACCACAGTTTACCGCTTCATCTTGCAGGCATTATAACCCTGAAAGGATGAAATGATTTTAGTTGAAGGTGTCGTGTTTAGATGCTCTCCATAGGCTTGTGAACGTTCAGCGACTAATGCTCAAGAATCATTCCTAATTTTCATCTCTAGATTTACTATTTAGAATAGGTACTTAGTTGAATTATTATTACTACTCCTTTGGGTTCCAAATGCAACATAGGGCTTCAGTAACACATCTCCACATTGTTCTATTTTCTGCACTCCTCTTCAACTGGGTCCACGATTATCCATAATCACTCATCTCCTCCTCCAAAACTATCTCACTGACGACCCGCTTGTGGCTTCCAACTGGGATTCCACTCGAGTGATGGCCTGCATTGCGCTCGATGTCATTCGACAGCTCCCTCAGCGTATAATGGATCCATTTCCATTTTCTCCCATATATTGACACATTCATCCGTTCTGGCTGTCTTTGTTTGAAACGATGCTGGCTCCCAAGATAAGTGAAGGAAGTAACCACTTTCAAATCTCACCCGTCGATGATGATTGGTGCTGGTTGTTGTAGTTGGTGGTGTTCGTGGTGGCTAGTTGAATGTCTTTATCACCTCCGTCTCCAACTTCTCGAAGTTCACCTGAAGTCCTGTCTTCGCCTCTTGCTTCTTCAACCAGTTTGTCGGTTTTCACCTGCAAGCCTTCGAGTCTATGGGACACTAAACATAAATGACACAGGCGTGAAATCCAGATTTCCTGGATTGGTGGTCCAGCGTATTCATGTTGTTTTCCCTCTCTGTGCACATTCTGACGCATAATCCAGTACACCACAATTAAGAATGTCATTAAAGATAGTGGGAAGCTTTGTCTGACTCATGTATTCACTTCAATCGCCTCGCTGAGTTTTCCGTTGTGGATCACCTGACATGTGGCAGGCATCGCCACATAGCCAGCTGTTGGATAAAGTTGACAAAGACTTGGGTACTACATACCATAGTGTTAAAGCAGTTTCTAAATTACTTCGTGGTATGCGCTGTCGAAGGCCTTTTCGAGATCGATAAAGTTGAGGTAAAGGTTTGACTGCCATTTGACGCATTGTTCGATGACGATGATGCGTAGAGCTGCAATTTGATCAGCACATGATTTACCCTTCCTAAATCCAGCCTGTTCCGGTTTGTAGGGGAGTTCTGCATCCAATGCATCTTTCATTCCCTCCAGGATGACGTGACATAATATTTTGCTTGATGTAGACAATAGCATTATTCCACGCCAGTTCTTGCAGAGGCCTAACTTGGTCGCCCTCTTTTGGTAGCTTGACAAGGTTTCCAGCCTTTCTTTCATTCAATATGCACCTTTCCTCTCTTCCAAACCTTTTGCAATAGTGGCGTGAAAACATTTGCAGCAGTCTCTGGGTCCTTTTTCAGTGCTTCGCCAGGGAATTCCGTCTAGTACTGCTGCCTTCCAGACCGGACTTCAGTAGCTTGATTTCATTCAAGGTTTCTCCACATATGTCTACTCATATGTATATTTTGTTTTTTATTTTTTATTACAGCTTGATGCCACACCGTATTTTTAGTACAAGTATGGAATTTTCAGCATGGATATCGGTAGCCCAAATTTTTCAGGCCGACCATAGATATCGGGTGTGCGCCGGCAGGGGATCGAACCCCGGACCATGTGCATGGTCGGCGAGAGTCCTAACCACTGTGCCACCGACGCACAGTACAGTTACGCTTAGTCAGTCAAAATAACCTCCATAATGGAATTTATACTAAATTAGCCAGCCGCTCAGGGAGTCCTGGTTCGACATCCGGCCGTCATGCTCTCAAACCTCGTCAAGTTTACCTCCCCCGAGAAAAGGGGGAGGGTTGCACCTGAGACGAGCCATTATACTGTGTAAAAACGATACCTCTACTGGAACATTAAAGCTTGAAACTCTATTTTCCAGTTGCAGTAGAAGGAATGAAAGAACGAAGAAAGCTCTGACGATACTGATAGAATGCCTTTTTAGACATTATAACGATGTAAAACAATGCTGTTTGTGAGTATTCGACACATCACAATGCTAGATCTCTTCCTTTGGTAATATAAGCATTGGAAGACGATGTCATTTATTACTGTCATCAACATTTAAAAACCACAAAACTTGAATGTTTTCTATGTTGTTTCATAAATATTTTACAAGGTAATAAACATCACGTAACAGGCGAAAATTTATGACTTCATGCAACAATACTAACGATTTTGTTTTATCTCTGTCCATTTTTCATTTCAGACCATTCAACCATCGTTACTTTTTGAATCTTCTGATGGTGTGTTCCTCTCAATCCCGTGTTTAATGCTATAAAAATTTGCCAGTTACTTGAATATTTCAACACCCTGGAAGACTTTTGCATCAACAACTAATCTGTTATCAATATTAACAATGACAGAAATAACTGAATCCTTTACAACGACATCAATAAGTACACCGCTGGATACAACTCAATGTGAACCGATCGAGTTTTTAGAAACATTTGGACGTGTTTATGGCGGGATGCATGGATATATCACACTGTTTCTCTGCCCTATTTGTGTATTATCTAATATTTGCATTGTCATTGTTCTTAACCAGCGTAGTATGATATCGCCAACAAATTTTCTATTGACATCTTTAGCGATAAGTGATGGTCTGCTAATGATATTTTATATTCCATTTGCAAGTTATTTTCTCATTGGTCGGCATACACGGAATTCAAGTTATAGTTGGGCGGTTTTCTTACAATTTCATATTAATTTACAGAATTTCTTACACTTAACTTCAAGTTATATTGTTGTTGTGATAGCTGTATTTCGTATTCTGTATGTACGATTTTTAGTTCAATGTCATATTTTGTGTAGTATGCAAAGAGCTAGACTGGCTATCACACTAGTACTGATAATAAGTAGTATATTGACTATCCCGTGTGTAATCACTCATCATATTGTCCGGAATAATAATGATAATGAAGAAAATGGCTACATGGTGACATATAAAGAAAATGAAGTCATGTTAAACTATCTGTACTGGAATACAGCTATTTTCTCTAAACTACTTCCACTGTTATGTTTAAGTGTACTTAGTTTTATGCTGATATTTACTATACGTAAACAGAATTCCCGAATGCGTAGAATGAAAGCACAATCAAAAGTTGGTAGAATTCACGCGGTTGCAGTGAAATCCCCTTCAAATTTATCAACAACTATGACAAATGCATCGTGTCTGTTAGATAAGGTGAATCATGCAGACAATGATATAAAAAATAACAATACTAATACTACTACTACTACTACTACTAATCATAATAATAATAATATAATGAATGATAATGGTGAGACAGTGATAATTAAACTTTCCAGTCTTAAAGAATCCCCGTCTTCATCGTCAACAGCACCAACACCAACTCCAGCCACAAATGTTAACACAGAACGGAAACGTAATACATTTGAAAATGAACGTGATAAAGTGGAAAATCGGTTGACAAGATTTTTACTCACAATTGTTTTTATATTTATGATCACTTTACTTCCACAGGTGAGTTATTTACTGCTTTCTAATAATTATCAGGTGTTCATGATCATGAGCTGTTATCAGTTAGTGAATTACTGAAAAAACCCAGAGTGTACTGAACAGCTGTTTTGTTCTAGTTTGGAACTCTTCAGCAGTACTCACCTACTGAGGTTTAAAACGAGGACCTTACGGTTACACAGTGAGCTCATAAACCATTCAGCCACTAGAATCCAACGTAAGTGGTTATGAATTCCATAAAGTCAATCGGCAGTCAACATCAGGTTAATTGACAAGTGTTGGCTGCAGGAATTGGACTGGTTTTAGGTGAGCTGACAACTTCAGCGCACTGCTGGAGAGTCCAGAAGTAGGACGAAACAGTTGTCCAGTACTCTCTGGTTTTTCAAATAAGTCAGTTTCTTAAATGTTCTCTTTTCTTCATTTACTTTCACCTGCAACTGATTTGAGCATTTTTGTAATAGTGAAATCTTTAGTGTTTTGAGAATGAAACGGAAAGGAAAACCCAAGGAAACTGGTAGGAAGATATATTTTTTATGTGAAATAGGATAAAAATACATATTTTTTTTCACTGTAGCTCAATTTCTCAATAACTATTTGATAAATTATTCTGGTCTGAGTAGATTATCTACAAAAAGGAAGTGTAAATGATGGTTCACAACAAATGATCTGAAGTGAATACAATAATATTAGAGAAAAAAAATGTGTAGAATGTTTTCACTTGAAACTTGAATTCTGATTTCTGTGGGAAAAGAACTGAAAACAGTTTTGAAGAGTTACATTTAGTTTGATCCAAATCTCCCCAAGTTCCATCTAATTCGTGGCTACTGCATAAGTGTTCTGAAGCTTTAGTGAGAAGTCGTGACAAGTGAGATTCACTATGTCAAGATGAATTGGATGCCCATCGAAAGTACTGATTGAAGGCAGAGCTATATCAGGAATTGATAAAGTCAGAATTCACAGGTCACTGAATTCAAGCCCAAGTGACAGAAATGTCAAGGAGCTTGATGTCTTAATCTAGGGACTCCCGGTTACCAGAAGTTAGAACTGATGAACAACTGGATTCTCTTCCAGTGTTGTTGAATGGTATACAAGTTCGCCTTGGAACCTAAATATCCCGGATTCGATCCCTGGGGAGGTCGCGAGTGTGTACTGCTACAAAGTTTCCAAATGGGATAAAACAGCTATCCAGTACTTCATGTTTCTCGGTGATCCTTCCAACTGATGTTGGTTCTTGACGAGATCTAACAGTTGAAATTAAATTAATTGAAATTCCCACAAATCTCCTAATCTGAATATCATTCAGTTATCAAGTGTGATATATGAAGAAATACAAGATAGTGTAGACGAGCTTTTATGTATTCATACACTGATTCTTTCATATTCAAAAATTCACTTTGTTGGACTCGAACCAACAAGGTTATTGTCCTGCTGACTTCATTAGTTTCAAAAAAATGAAATATACTATAAACTGGGTTTTTGTGCAATATATTCAAACGAATAATATGTGTATTTATGACCTTATATGTTTGGTAATGAATGGTAGTGGAAACCGGTTCTCTGGTTTCTTCTTGTTTTGCACTCATCATCTGTGTACATCTGCTCTCCTGTGAAGGATAGTGTTCCCTGTGAGACTTACCTGTCTCCTAAGCTACATCTGTTGTGCATGAAGTATATCTGAAATCCTTTTATTCAGAATTTTGGTTTAATACTGATATATCTGGATTTAGCTGAACAGCCCATTTTAGCAGAAGCCTAGATGTAAGCATAGTTATCAACTTGAATTTGCTTCTCCAGGTGCGTATATATATAAATATATATACTCTCTTTAATAAGATGTTAAAGTAGTATAATAAGCAACTATTAATTATTAACATAAAAGGTTAGTTTATTGAAAACCGGCGAAATGCAAAGCGTTAATCAGTGAAACTTTTGAAGTGGAATAGCATCCTTTTGAATAGTGAATGTATATAATTAAAGACTTTTGTAATTATAATTACTGACTACAAGAGTTTTAATGTGCGTTTATTCAGCTGGTTACTGAACTGCATACCTTCCTCATTTTGAACTACCTCCTGTTAAATAAGAAAAGAAATGATAATTATTATCATTTTTCTGAACTATTTTTATGCTATTCACATAACTGAATACATCATAATGATATTCTTATCTAGCTGAGAAAAACCCAGTGGGATTCAGGGTGCCTATTTTATCTTATTTGGAACTCATCAGCTTAATGTACCTGAATTCCCACTGTGTGATAGTGTTTCCACTCAGGCTCGAACCCAGTAGCCATGGTTTTAAGCTGTAAAGCGTTTATCCTCTAGACCATTTGGGCAACCACAGTCACATTTTGTGCAACAGGCATCAGATATTATTCGTTTTTAATTCAATTTTGTTTTTTCTGATGATTGATTGGACCGAATTGTTCAATCTTTGATGACATGTTGGCTCCTAGTGCAGACGTTTCAGCGGTGTCTTAAGATAAACTTGAAGAAATTTGTTGGATGGTAGGAACACCATGACTCACTGTGGAATGCAGGTAAATCAAGCCGACGGGCACTAAGTGGGACGAAATGTTCATCCTGAATTCTACTGTTAGTCAAAATCTAATGAATTACTTAAAGTTAATCCTGAGACATCTTTGAAGCGTCTGCACTACGATCTGATATGTCGACAAATGCCAAACATCTCGGTCTAAACATTCAACTGGAAAATGAAATTTGAATAAAAGCCAAATAATATTTGCGTATATAACTTCTAAACCAAAACACTGTGATACATAATTGTGGAAGAGTTCATTGAAGAGGAACGATGGATAGCAGAAAGATATCATCCCAGCACGTAAAATAGAAGTAATCCCAATTTATAAATAAGCGTTTTCACTGATTAGAAAGAAATTTGACTATTAGTGTGAACATATATTTATCACTGTGGAATAAAACTTTTCATCCTATCATTACTCTCCGGGACATTGTTTTGTCTCATCAATGTGTTATACTTTCCAATTATTATTCCCTTGTATCCCTAGTAGAACGGTTGCCTTCAGCAGCACATCTCTCTTTATTCCTGTTCTCCTAAGCCCTCTTTAGCTCACAACACGATTCATCATGTTTTCTAATTTACTCCTCACATGACCTTCTCTGTGTCAAACCTAGGACTAAGCCCAATTCCTTGTTTTCCACTCGAGGGCCGGCGCGATGTAAATCAACGGTCTTAATTTTCTTCTACATATTGAATGAGCCATTGGATGCTCAACTGGTTTGTTCCCAGTGTTCCTTTTTGCTAATTCTTTCTGAACGGCCATCTGATCTCCAGTATCTAGCCAGCGACAGCAGCCGTTGATGAAAGTCTACAGTGACCTGTCGTCAACGCTATTCGGGAAGCTTGATCCAAGTCTCTGAATCATATAGGACAGCTTGCTTAAAACTGATGTTGAAAATCCGAATCTTTTTCATCATGCTGGTGATTTCAGAGTGATGAAGATCTTTCTTACTTTTCTGATCTTGGCTGGCTTTGAAATCCTGGTCCATTCCTTTTCTAGTTGAAACCACGCTGCCTAGATAGGTGAATGAAGTAACCATCTTCAGATTTCTCTCTTTGATAATGATTGTTACTTGTTGTTGTTACTCAGGCATTTTCATCACCTGAGTCTTCTAGGTATTCACTTGAAGTTCTGTTTTCGCTGCTTGTATCTTCTGTCCACTTTTTGGTTCCCGCCTGTAGATCCTTAAATTTGTGTAACATTAGGCATAAATAGTCCACAAAGTCCTGACTTTCTGGAGGTTGCATACAGCAAATAATAGTCTGGGCCTACATCTAGTCCCCTTCTCGATTCTGCGTCCAACAGGCTGCGTCTTCACTTACTTGAGAATGAGGTGAGGTCTCTCTGGTTTTTAGTGTGTCGTTCAGGTGAAATCCATGTTGCTTTGTGTATATCCTTGTGCTTTTACACACTTCCTTCAATCACCGAATCAATGGATGCACAGAAGTCTGCGAAGAGTTCTCCGTTATCATTCATTTCACCGACAGCATCTCGATCCATGACGAATTCTCTTTCTGTATTGTCTGGTCCCAGTTAAGCATTCATATCGCGCACAAGGATTTTGATGGCACCATTCAGGATCTTATTTATTACAGTTTGCAATTGTCTATAGAAATTTTTTCCCTTCTTCAGCTGTTCTGCATTGTTTGTAGGTGCATGGCATTGAATGATCACAACTTCTGTTCCTTTTGAGTTAAAATTTGCTGTCGTATTCCTGAAAGGGATTGGCTTTCGCTGCATGACAGCTTCGGATGTTTTTGATGACATCACGATAGCCACTTCTCCAGTATGCCAGTGATTATCGTCTTGGTGACCAAAGTAGACTACTGACTCTTCAGCTAATATATTTTGGACAGTCCACTTCCAAACAATCTCTCACCGAAACCTAGCATTTCTGTGCCATATAGCCTTGACCTTTGAAACCTTACTAGCCTTCCCAGATTTGAACATCACGTGAACATTCCATGTCCCTATGATGATGTTTCCCCTCATTGAAAGAAGAAAAGTCGGTATAATGGCTTCCCGAAGGCTTTCACCACTCAGCGTCATTCCAAGTCTCCAATTCCAGCAAATAATAAGTTTATTTTTCACATTTTTGCTGTGCTCTGAACTTTCTGCAGGTATTAGACTGAATTTCCCTATAAGAGTGGCTAGTCTGACGCCCAACCTTCTTTCTTTTTCGGGTTTAAGACCTGATAGTAAACCAGGTGAGATTAAACCTTCACATTAACTTATTATATCATATTTACCAAATGTATAATATTCTGAAATTAGCATGGTGTCTAAACTTGGGAATGGTATTGCATATTACAATTCGTAAATATGCATATATACATGCAAATATCTTATGTATATAAATATGTGACGAAAACTTGAGCGGAACAAACAAACAATACGCTACCACACTTTTAAGGTACATCACCTTTCTGATGTTTTAGGCAAATAATCCATTGGTAAACTCAAG